TCAGAATCCATCCTGCTTTAAAGAGCTTGAGCATTTAAAGTAACAGATGACTAAATAAACAGAACCATATTGTCCACTGGTGTGGACACTAATATAGGTAAAGTTATTGTTATAGTTATCGCTCTTGGTGTGAACGGGCCTTAACAATACTTTTAAAACATACAAAATATATCTCTCACTTAAACCACCCATATTTTCTGCAAAGATCTGACATCACACACATGTCCTTCTAGTCAATGAGACAAAGGGATCAATTATCTCTGCTAGATTGCAGATTAAAACAAAGACCGCTGAGCAGGAAAACTGAGGAGTATTATGGTTAGTATGCATTATGCATGGAGAGTGATTGTAATATCTTCTAATTCCACTTTTTAGGGCTGATATATAAAGAGACTGTTGCAACAATTTGATCAGAATACAATACACATACAGGAAATTACTCGAGGGGTCCGCTGATGACATCATTTTGGCCTGATCAGAGCCAATGAAAAATACTAATGAGAAAATGATTAGGAAATCAAATTAGGCAATAAAGATAACAATATATGTTTTGGCAAAGTCAGAAGGGATTAGAACATGAGCTGGACAAAAATCATTAATTATTTGTTTTCCTGTTTTAGTTTCAAATAGTGTGATGCTTCAATTGACTCTTTTTTTTTTTTCAAAACAGCATTTTAAAGAGGCCACTGCTTTTAATCCATGTAAATCAATGTCATATTAGCGTGAGTTCCAGTCTGCCTCATGTCCTGATCCCGTTAGAGATACTATGTAAAGGCCAACTGGCAGTTAGCATGTAGCTGTGGGGCTCATGTGAGCAAAGCATGTTCAAATTCAACTCAACGTTTCCAAAGCCCATTTCAATTTACAAATTATTTTCTGTTCTTTCTACTTTCCTTCCAATAAAACAAGCAAAGAAAAATGAAAGGAGGGAAAAAAGCCATTGTCTTCATTGTTTTGTCTTTTAATTGTATGGTGTGATGGTTTTCTTCACAATCACCTTAACTTAATTAGCGGATTGTTTCCTCTAACAGAACCAATCTCAGGGGGACAGACTGGTATTATTCACATGTTTACTCAAGGTTTAGGCAGAACCAAAAGGACTTTTATTTTCTTTCTTTGTGCAGTGAAAGTAAAAGTTGGACAAAAAAAACAACAACCTATAACCATTACACCATATCCTAACCATAAGTGACTCGATAAAGACATTAAGGGTGTAAAATACTCATTTTATTTGATTACTATACTTAAGTATTATTTTAGTAAATTTTGTACTTTACTCAAAGGCAAATTTCAACTGAATACTTGTACTTTTACTTAATTGTATTTCTAAAGAAAAATATAGCACTTTTACTGAAAACATGAATACAACCTTCTGAATCCTACAGTAAAAATCCCTCCACATATAACATTAAATATCTTTGAATTTACTGTTTAAATACATGTTGTTCTGAAAAATTAATTATTGTACTGCCGAGTCTGCATGTGTATACTGTACCACATGATTAAGTACATTAATCATGTGTGTTTTTAATTAAGACCACCTAATATAAAGTGCGACCAAACATTTTAGTTCATTCACTTTGCATAGAAACAATAACTGCTTTTATTTTTGCTCTTTTTTTTGCTCTCTTATTTTTGCTTTTACTCTTTTTAATACTTAAGTACAACTTTTTTACTTTCACTGAAGTATGTTTTTGTCTAGATACTTAGACTTAATTCAGTAAACGTTATTAGGTGACTTTTCAATGACTTGAAACTTGGTGCAGTGCATCTGGTTACGTGGCGTCAGTGATCCACCAACACATTCTCGTCCTTTGGCGTCATATAGGTGACGCCATATGACATTTCGTCGAAATCTTACGCACATGGCATCCTTTAGCGTCAATATAACACGCACTGTTATGGGTACACTGTAAAAAATGATCGTGATTTTAACGGTAAAACACTGTAAAAATGCTACAGTGAAAAACTGTTAATTGGTTAACAGAAAGTTTCCTTACTATATACGGTAAATAACTGTGATATATATAATGGTACATTTAATTAAATTTTACTGTAAAATACCGTTAAATTTACAGTTTTTGGAAGTGAAAAAGAACAAGTCATTGTATAATTTACAGTGAAAAAATGTAAATTGACATTCCCACAATTCCCTGCGTGACACTTCACATTTGATGTATTTTGTTTTTAAATAACTGTTTCTTCATAATTTTCTTAGTTTTTTTCTAATCAGTTATGTACATTAGGGTTTTATGTTACATTTAATGTTGTTAAATTAATGCTTATTGCATTTTTTAAATTTCAACAAGTTACCATGATGGTGTTTAATGTTTGTGTGAATGACACTGTGCAGCTTCTATATATTAGTATTAACTTTCTTGTGGAAGAGATGCTTATGATGAGCTTTGGTTGACCATTTGACTCTCATCACTGCTGTGATTGTTGGCTCTCAGTGTATTACAATGGAAAAAAACAGATATTAATACTTCAAAAGGTCAGTATATTAACATTATATCAGATAATGAAATACGGTTTATTGCTGTAAAATTGTATACGGTTAAAAGTTGTAAAACCTAAAACGTTGCTACCGTATTTTTAACAGGAAAACTCTGGTAACCACAGCTGCCAGGGTTTTCCTGTAAATTTAACGTTTTTTTTTTAACAGTGTAGGTTTAGGTCTGGGGTAGGGTACGGTTATGACGCCTTGGGATCTGCGTCTCATATTGACGCTAAAGGATGCCATGTGCGTAAGATTTCGATCAAATGTCATATGGCGTCACCTGTATGACGCCTTGGGTTCTGCGTCTCATATTGATGATAAAGGATGCCATGTGCGTAAGATTTCGACGAAATGTCAAAAGCGTCACATGTATGACGCCTTGGGATGAGAACGGGCTGGATCTACAGGTAGACTTATTACGTTATGTTTTGACTGAGAGTATAGACCTTCTGTAGCTCCGCCCCTTTTTAGCGCTGAGCTCGTTGTGTTCTGTCTTCCGGTTTTTATTTCCACAGCATGAAGGAAAGATCTTACGAATTTATGAATGATCCGCTCGTTTTAAAATCTTCCCGGTCTATTGACATTTGTTATGTACAGTATCTGCTTCAAACAATACAATGCTCATGATAACGTTTGCTAACTCAAAAATAAGTAAAACCACTTCACCAGCTAATTACTCTTCGACAGCGATGCCACAGAGCTACCGCAAAAAAGACAAAATTCGGAAGATGACTGCACGCTTGTTTCTCTGGCACATATGGTCTATAGTAGCTTATACACATCAATAAATAGTTCTGCCCTATAGCGGTGGAAGGGCAGGTGTATGATGCTGGATACACACTGATACACAGTTCCCAAAGCAGACACACCAAATGCATTTCCATTTCCGCTATTAAATTGGCTCACTTAAGTCTGATAAGCTTTGGAAACTGTCTTGTCTTGGCTCTCAAAGATCAAACACTTCCTATAATTCATAAGGTCATCTGTACAGGAAGCCACATATGCAGCTGAAACCAACAGAACCTTTCAATAGGTACACAGACCAATGGAAAAACATAATTAGTAATAAAGAGAACTAGTTCAAGTAGTGACTGGTACAAGTGCAGAATGTGACGAATGGTGTAATTTGACAAATGTGACTTAATGCAATTTGCTGTTTTTGTACCAAGATGTTTGCTGCCATCAGGACAGCCATGGTCATCATATAGCATACAACAAGAGAAGAAGAATTGGATCATGTCGGTAATGGGAGCGGTTCACAGTCTCTGTAATTGTGTGAATTGCATTTTTTATTTTGAAAAGCAATATAATAATAATAGCATGTCATGTGCAGAAATGTAACAAGTAGGAATCTATTAGTGTGTGTATTTAGTCTTCAGTGTTATTGGCACTTTTCAATTCACCTCTTTTATGCGATCAATCATTCAGATATAAATGTTAAATTACAGAGCAATTACATAAAATATAAATTAGAGGGAAATGTCAATGTCTTGCTCTGTGGTATTTGTCATTTCATGTCGCGATGTTAATTACAAGTTATGCTGAATGGCAAGACCGATATTTTCAGGAAAATCAAAAATAGGTGGCCGCACAGTATGCAAGTGATTGTGTGTATGGTTTAGACGTGTATTGAAAGTTATGTGTATTGAAAGGATAGTTCACCCAAAAATCTCAACCCAAATTCAGTCCCACTTTATATTACGTGTTTTTAACTAATAACTGCACTTATAATGCACTTATTGTGTACATACATTGTACTTACACTCTAAAAAATGCTGGGTTGTTTCAACCCAAATTTGGGTCAAATATGGACAAACGCAAATGTTGGGTTAAAAATGTAATTAAAAAAATTACAGTTGAAAGTTGAAGTTGGGTTAAAATTTTAAATTACATTTTTACATGTCCATATTTGACCCAAATTTGGGTTGAAACAACCCAGCATTTTTTAGAGTGCATATTTAAATATACCTGCATGTAATTACAGCAGTAATTCATTTTCTGTATTGACATCTGTAATTTTACACTGTTGATCCTTGACTTACCCGTTAACCCACCCTTAACCCTACACCACCAAACCTGTCCTAACCTTACCCGTATCCCTCCTCAACAGCAGTGGTTTTTGCAAAGTGTTTTGCAACACATGAACACAATAAATACACTGTACCTTTTTATTTATATGTAAGTACACAGTGGTTAAAGACACCTAATATAAAGTATGAACCTTTTTTTTTTAGTGGAGCACAAAAGCAGAAATGTATCACAATGTTCATGCTGCTCCTTTCCATGAAATTAAATCATAAGGTGACCTAGGGCTGTCAAGCTCCAAAGAAACACCATAAAAAATCACCCATAAACTTCATGCATGATATAAAGGAAGGTTTGGATTGACTTGAGGGTGAGTAAATGATCCCATACTCCTCATTTCTGGGTGAACTATCACTTTAAAAGCCATACACACAGTGTGTTGTGGCTAAACCCATTACAGCGTCTGTGTGATTACCCAGTGAGCTCTTCTCCTGTGAGCTGAGGGACAAGGTCTGGTCTTCAGGCTGCTCAAACACAAGGAACTGGTAGCGGTGGAGCCCAGTGCCTTGAGGTGGAGTGGGGCGGGTGTATGCTAATGAGGAAAAACAAGCACAAATCTGTTTTAGAGCTCCTGCTAGAATCTGTTTTCAAATGGTTTATGTTACAGCTCAGAACAGAAAACTAGACTTTAACGTTTTCTGAAGAACATGAGAGCGGTGCTGGTCCATGCAAAACCTAGCCTGAGGCCTTGTTTACAGCTGGTATTAAGATGCGTTTTAAGATCACAAGTAGACGAGGAAGACACATTCCCGTTTACACCTGGGGCCCTATCTTGCACCTGGCGCATATGACTTTGTACACTGACGCATGTATCATTTCTATTTTGCACCCGCGCAAAGCGGGCTTTTCCCTCCACAGACGCACGTCGGTAAACTAGGGAATGAACTTGCGCTCCCTGGGCGGGTCGGCGCAAAAAGGAGGCGTGTTTCGGCGCAAACATTCCCTCATGCTATTTTGCAGTTCCAGAAAACAATTCCGCCACTGACCAGAAAAAAACTAGTCTAAAGTCAGTGGCGCGTTGTTCGTAATGCTATTTTAAGCGCACATGCTTGGCCATAATGTAGCGGGTGCACAACGTGCATACACTTTGATTCTCTCATCAACACAGATGCAGCAGTTTTTATTTTTGCAAATCATACATTATAACAAGGAAAAATATTAACACATGAGGGAAATCATTGTGGTGTCCATGAAGATGTAAAAAAATGTAGGCCTAAATCTAGCTTACACATTTACCCAAATTTTTCAGGCTAATTTGACGGATCAGACCTGTTTGCCCAATAGTGGCAAGACACATATGTATATATAAGGACATCTGACAAATTAGTTTGTCCGTCAAGAACCAGAAAAAAAAAAAAACTCCCATCCCCATACAACGTCACTTCTCTGTCTTTCACTGCCCTGACAAGAACGTCGGTCTCCTCGGCTGTGAACCGCTCCTGGCGCGCGCCTGGTAAATCCGCAGTTATAATAGCAATCCACCATGCAACATGCGCACCTGCTCTTAAAGGGTATGTTGGATGACGCTCTGATTGGTTTATTTCACGTTACGCCCAAACCTCACCTATGAATAATGAAGCTACTTCAGACCAACCCCTTTTAAACTTGCGTCGGGCACAAGAGTCATTTATCCCGCCGGTAAAATAGCAACAGCGCCCAAGACCCGCCCACAAAGTTACTTGATACTTGCGTTTCAGATCGTTAAAATAGGGCCCATTGTGTTTTAATCCGTCTCTTCTGTCCACTTTCAACCACTTCTGTCCTGATTTCTTCGAGGGGAGGGTCTGTGAGTGGTTAAATGAATGTGTTTTCAGATCTTAATACCAGGTGTAAACAGGGCCTAAAGGTTGCGCAGAAACGTAAAATGTGTTTAGTGATCAGAATTTCTTTCTGTCCAAAAGCTGTTTAAAAGTTTATTTATTTATTTATTTTTTAAGAAATCAATACTTTTGTTCAGTAACCAAGCACAATGTTTTCTCACCATTCCTGATTTCTAACACACACTCACAGTGTTCGGCGTGATCTTGCGGCTGCAGAGCAGAAATGAAAGCTGATGCTCTCTGTATGTTTTTCCGTCGTCCCCAGTCGCGTTATTATGTAAATTGCATGAGCTTATATTGTCCATTAGAACGAAAGATCTGAAAATACATACATTTACCCGCCCACAGACCCTCCCCTCGAAGAAATCAGGACAGAAGTGTTTGAAAGTGGACAGAAGAGACGGATTAAAACACCAGGTGTAAACGGGAATGTGTCTCCCTCATCTACTTGTGATCCGATCGACCAAAACGCATACCGGGTGCAAACAAGGCCTTAGAAAAAACTAGCTATTGTTTTAATTATAATTAAATGTTTATTTAGTCAGTCTATCATTGTTAAATTATTGAATTTTGTTAAACCCGCCCCTCAAAAACCAAAACTCTGTTTGGTCACTTTACATGTCAGTCAGAGGATCTCTTCCTTTCTGAGTGGGCGGTTCTTGGCCAGAATAAGCTGCAATGTGGACTTGACATTTTGCCATTTATTCAAAGGTCTGGCTACTTAAGACTAAAAGGTCCCAAGGTTAATATTTAGGATTAGAGGCTAGCCACTCCAAATGTGCAATTGTAATAGTGATACATGTATTCAGTCAAAACTAATTTTTTGTTGTTGTTGTAGAAGACACTCACCGGAGAGTTCGATGCCTCTGACATCTCCCGTCTTGAACGCTTCCCCCTGCAGAAAGACACATGAGAGAAAGAAGGTGCTTAAAGCACAAAGACACTGTTGTACATGTGCCATTGTCTGGTGTTCTATGCTTCTGAGTTAAAACAATGCGAGCCTGGGGACGTGTTGCGATCTCCTCCTTCATTCATCACCCGAGGGCCACAAAACCACAGCTTAACTGCAGCTCAGAGCCTCCAGGACCCTGACCTAACCAGGCTTAGATGTGTCGATGTCGGCCCCGCACGGGATCTGCCATATTTAATATCCTGAGACAAAGCCAATTCCCAGGCAAATTAAGTGAGTGATTGGATTTCAGAATAGCAAATTCCCATATTATTAATTGTATATTAAGTTTTCGTTGCCTAGGAACAGAGATTCACGCTGAGCTTTCTATGAGTTGAGTTTTTTGTTCTCCCTCCCCCAAAGGGCACTCCTATATTTGCTGTTTTAAACCCATATCCTTAAGCAGATGTAATGCTGCACAGTTTCACTGTAAATAGCCCAGTGGAATATTTAGCTGATAGATCTGATTCCTCTGTGCTGAAGCTGTGGATTACAGTAGTTTAGAGTGCTTTGCTTCATTCAGTACAGTAGCCCTGTGAGATAAAACACTTAAAGGATGAAGAAGCATAGTGGGAAAAAAAAAAGTTTGTGCTCAAAACCTATTTAGAATGGGAAGTCCCCGCTTATAAATGCCTTTCATGGTTTGTCAGAGTGTCAGAACTCTGCTATTGTCAATCAAGCAGACCCTGCCATTGAAACACACTACTCTCCATCACCCCCTACAGGACCATAGAGGTACTGTCCTGGTCACCTTTAGGTGGCTTAAGGATCCAATAAATGGGGTGTAACACTAAACACATGGTAATTAATGTAGGGATATTCAAAATTATTTTCTGCATTTTGTAAAAAAAAATGTAAAAAAATTGAAGTGCTTCAAGAGTCAAAAACATGTAAAAAATTATTCCTAAAGTTATACTTATTAAATGTATTCCTATAAAGTTATATAACTCAATAAGTTATTGAGTTACTATTGAGTTATACTCAAAACTCATTAAGATTTCATGTCACCATGAAAAGCATTCCATTTTACTTCTGTAATTTACATATTTACAAGTGAAAAATTAGAAGAAATGTAGGATGGACTACAGTAGGTTTTATCTATGATCGACCCGAGGGGAGGGGTAAATTAAAACTAAAACAATTTGGGCTTTTCATAAGCAGAGCAAGTTAATATATTTTGAACACTTCTTTTCCCATTGGAATAAAATGCCCTGATGAATCATGCACAGTAAGACCAGACATGTGTATTAAGAAATGTATTATAACATGTCCATTTTTATATGTTGGCCCTAAATATGTTTTACAAGAGAAACCCGGACAATAAAGGCATCATAAAAGTACTTACATAAATACATAAAATGACATCACATAATGATGTCCACAAATTAACCATTGTGTGTGTATGTGTGTGTGTAAATATATATACCAATTCGTTCAACGAGAACATTGTGACAAACATATAAAAAGTGCCAAACATGAAAACATAAAGATGAAAGAGCTATGGTCTAACTACATCTGCACATAAATACGAATTGTATGTCACCTTACACATGTTGCACAGTGAACTTCTGGAAATGAGACACGGTGCGAAGACAGTCAAAGACAATTAGTTTCACGCTTTGCTTCATTTGCAACAATTACATTTAAAGTAAGAGACGGCTTTATTTAGACATTCCGAAGAGTTGCGTGTTCTAGAGCCCCGTCGTCATGGCAACAGGCCGTCAACAGTGCTGGGAGGGTGAAAAGCTCTTTTTTGGTTTCCCATTTGGTCTGGTTGAGATATTCGCACTCGCCCCATTGCAGAAAATCAACGCTCCTTTGTGCTGATGTATTTTGGGGAGAGTGATATTCACACTTTGCAACAAGCAAAGAAAAATTCAACATCAGTGAACTGATGGGCATATTGCGCACAGATGGCAACATACTAGCGCGTAGAGCCATTTCAGGATGCCGATCATCATTAAAAACCTGTTGCATTTTAGAGCATTACAAGAGAGATCCCTGGGGATGTTTGAGACTGAAATTGGAGATTTTGTGCAGGCAGAATGTGTCTGACCCCCTTTAGCCTCTCGGCAGTGGAGTGGATGGATCTCTGGGAAAGAGTCACACCTATTTTTCATGACATTTACACCTGAGGACCAGCGCTCCTTGTGAGATGCGATGTAGGCGTAACTGCAAATGCTTACAATTTGAGTGCATGTATTGGGGTTTATTGTTAGAGGAATTCAGATCAGCCTGTTGACAGCTTAGATGGGCCCTTTTGTTCAGCGAAGTATGACAAACATGGATGCTCCAAGGACTTGAGAGGGTGAATGTTCTGTCATTTAATCACCCGCATGTCATTAGAAAACATGTATGAAACCTTTTCCTTAAGAGAAACAGAAAAGGAGAATATTTGAGAATATCCTGCCGGCTCTTTCCATTTATTAATAGTCAAAGGGGGCTACTAAGCTATAAAAACAAAACAAAACAAAAACAGCATAGGGTCATTTAAAATTATATTTTTCCCAAATTCAGCGCACAGATGCTACATCTGATGAGACGCAGGAGGAGCCGAGCCAGGAAGCACCCCATAGCGCTCAGAGCCTCCGTGTGCCACTAACCGTCCCCCCAAGTCTTCTGCCCCAGGCAAAGGTGCGAATCAAGTGGCCACAGGCCTGTAAGACGGCAGTCTGGAGGCAGTTCGATGAGGACGTTGACAAGGTGCTTGAAGCAACAGAGAAGGGAGATGTGGATCGAAGGCTGCAGGCAATGACGACCATCATCTCCAGCCTAGCGCAGGAGAGGTTCGGTGCCGAGGAGAAGCGATCAACTCCAACCACCTATTCCATGAACCACAGAGCAGCGAAGATCCACAAAATCCGGCAGGAGTTGAAGTCTCTCAAGAAGCAGTACAAGGAATCCAGTGAGGAGCAACGCCCCCCCCCCCCTGGAGGAGTTGAGAGCTGTCTTGAGGAAAAGGCTGATGACCTTGCGCAGAGCAGAATGGCACAGAAGGCGTCGAAAGGAGAGATCGAGAAAGAGAGCTTCGTTTATTGCCAACCCCTTCGGCTTCACTAAACAGCTCCTGGTACAGAAGCGCGACAGCAAGTTGCTCTGTTCAAAAGAGGAAATTGACCAGCATCTGCACAGCACTTAGAGTGACCCTCTCCGGGAGGAAGAGTTGGGCCAGTGCAACATCCTTGTAGATCCACCTCCCCCCACCAAGGAGTTTGACAGCAGGGAGCCACTGATGAAAGAAGTCCAGGAGGTTGTGCGTGAGGCACGATCTAGCTCTGCCCCTGGACCAAGTGGAATATACAAGGTCTACAAGAACTGCCCCTTGCTACTCAGGCGACTCTGGAAGATCATTTGAGTCATTTGGAGAAGAGGAAAGGTGGCACAACAGTGGAGATTTGCTGAGGGAGTCTGGATCCCCAAGGAGAAAGATTCCAAGCAGATCAATCAGTTCATAATATCATTGCTGAGCGTGGAAGGCAAGATCTTCTTCAGTATAGTAGCAAGGCGTCTGACCAACTTCCTCTTAACTAACAACTACATAGACACATCTGTGCAAAAGGGAGGAATTGCTGGAGTCCCGGGGTGCTTAGAAAACACGGGAGTGGTGACTCAGCTCATCCGGGAAGCTCGTGAACACAAGGGAGACCTCACGGTACTGTGGTTAGACCTAGCCAATGCATATGGCTCTATCCCCCACAAGCTGGTCCAGACCACCATGACCAATCACCATGTGCCACAGCATATTGCAGATCTGATCTTGGATTATTACAACCATTTTAGGATGAGAGTCTCCGCAGGAGGTGTGACATCAGATTGGCACAAACTGGAGGTGGGAATAATCACAGGCTGCACCATCTCTGTGATCCTATTCGCGGTGGCTATGAACATGATTGTCAAATCGGCAGAGCCTGAGTGTCGGGGGCCCCAAAGCAGAGGAGGGGTCCGCCAACCGCCAATCAGAGCATTTATGGATGACCTGACAGTCACCACAGAGTCAGTGCCAGGAGGCAGGTGGATACTCCAAGGGCTGGAAAAGCTCATCCGGTGGGCTCGGATGGAGTTCAAACCAGCCAAGTCCCGTTCGCTAGTGCTGAAGAAGGGCAAGGAAAGAAAGGTCAGCAGCTGTCTCAGGAGATGGTTAGGTTTGCCCAGGAGTCTCAGCAACATCGCCCTCTATGGAAACACCACAATGCTCCGGTTGCCTCTGAAATCCCTGGAAGAGGAGTTTAAAGTGACTCGGGCACGTGAGGTTCTGATGTATAGAGACTCCAACGACCCAAAGGTGGCCCAGGCAGGAGTGCTGGTGAAGACAGGGAGGAAGTGGAGCGCCCAAGCCGCTGTGCTGAATGCACAGGCTCGACTGTGGCACAAAGAGCTTGTGGGAGTGGTGGTTCCCAACACCTCCTCGACATAAAGAGTTGAAGGGGAAGGAGAAGCGCAGCCGAATTTATGAAGAGGTCAGAGCTACTGTGGAGGAAGGAAGGACGAGCAGAGCTGCTGGAATGGGGCAACAGGGGGCCTGGACCAGGTGGGAGCAGGCCATGGACCGCAAGGTCACCTGGACGGAGCTCTGGCAAAGCAAGCCACACCACATAACCTTCCTGATTCGGGCAGTGTACGATGTCCTGCCTAGCCCAGCAAACCTTTGTACGTGGGGGAAAGCAGACACACCAACTTGCCAATTGTGCCCAGCTCTTGGAACGCTGGAGCACATTTTGAGCTCCTGCCCAACAGCGCTCGGCCAGGGTTGTTACACTTGGCGTCACGACCAGGTGCTGAAAGCTATTGCAGACACCATCAGCAAAGAGATCATCAAAGGCGGCCGAGGCAGCAACACCACTCGCTCAATCGCATTTGTTAGGGGAGGAGAACAGCCACAAGCAGGGAGGAAGGCACCAGCAGGAATTCTGGCATCAGCCAAGGACTGGAAACTCTCTGTGGATTTG